ATAAACTGCTTGATAAATGAATCAGGTATTGACAATTCACTTGGAAACTCAACATATACCCTCACGACACTAAAAAAAGAGGAAATCCTGGATAATCATAGGTCTGTTCTATGTTCCTTTGGAATTTCAACCAAAGATGAAGAACTGGATCTTCCATCACTGTATTGGATATCTAAACTACATAAGTGTCCTTACAAACAACGGTATATTGTTGGGTCTTCCAAGCGCTCCACGAAACCTCTTTCTAAATTATTAACATCTATTTTATCAGCAATCAAAGCCGGGCTTCAAAGTTATTGTGAAACTGCCTATTCTAGAGGTGGCGTGAATCAGATGTGGATACTAAAAAATTCAAAAGATCTTTTAGAGAACATACAATCTAAGACTCTTTCATCTTGCAATAGTATTAAAACATTTGACTTTTCTACACTTTACAACAAGTATTCCCCATTCCAAACTAAAAGACAAATTGAAAGACTTGGTATTGCTTTGTTTCATAAAAAAGAATGGCCAACGTAGATACAAATATCTTGTCTTAGGGAGGGACAAATCCTACTTTGTAAAGAATCCATCTGATTCAAACAAAAAATTCTCGGAAACTGACATTATCAAGATGCTTGATTTCTTGATTAACAACATATTTGTTACGTTTGGAGGACGTGTTTTAACAAAATATCGGCATTCCCATGGGAACCAATTATGCCCCTCTTCTTGCCGACTTGTTCCTTTATTATTATGATGCTGACTTCATACAGGAACTTCTTAGGAAGAAAGAAAGAAGTTAGCAATATCCTTTAACTATACTTTCCGCTATATAGATGATGTTCTCTCACTAAAAATTTCAAAGTTTGGTGACTATGTTGAACGCATCTATCCCATCGAACTAAAGATAAAGGATACAATAGATACAGTTAAGTCTGCCTCATATCTTGACTTACATTAAGAAATTGACAATGAGGGTCGGTTGAAAACAAAACTTTACGACAAAAGAGATGATTTCAGCTTCCCAATTGTGAACTTTTCATTTCTATGTAGCAACATTCCAGCAGCGCCTGCATACGGAGTATATATCTCCCAATTGATACGATATTCCCGGGCTTGTATTTCCTATCATGATTTCTTTGATAGAGGGTTGCTGCTCACAAGGAAGCTATTAAACCAAGAATTCCAAATGGTGAAGTTGAAATCATCCCTTCGTAAATTTTACGGACGCTATCACGAGTTGGTTGACCTTTATGGAATATCCGTTTCACAGATGATATCGGACATGGTCCTTATGTCCTCTTCACGAATGTGACTAACCGAATAAGTCTATTTACCGGGTTTGTAATACCATGAGCAAAACGACGGGTGCCACATGTGGAGCAGCATCTGCTTACCCTTCCGGAGCACCTGAGATAACCCCCAGTTTTGGTGGGGTTCGTGTTGTTTAGTCTTTAGTTTTCTATGTTGTGTCTTGTGTACTATTATTTATCTGTTTATCTTTTTCTGTTTTAGCCATGGCGTTGTCAGTTTATTTTCGATCTATAAGTTTGACTGTCCCTCTTGTATCTTTCGCCCCTCTTTTATGCAGTTTCTGCTGTAAGTACTAAACCTGTATTATTTTAAAATTTTAGAATTTAACAAGCGTTGTTGTGTTCGGTTTTAATTGTATAGAATTAAATATTATTGTAGTTAAATCAGAATAGATTGATATGATTCATTTTACATCATAATCATATGATGAAACGATTCCTAACATCACTGAAGAGACATTAATTGTCGAAATCCGGATATGGTGTACAAACACCTTTGCACCTTTCGTTTGCGGCATACCATCTTTTCCGCAAGTTTATTGTTTTCTGTTTAGTATTAAATTTATAATTAAGATCCAGTTATTACATCGATGATCCGTTTATTTGGCAATCGCCAATGTCAGTCAGCAGGGTTTAAGAACATTTGTTGTTCGACCTGTTAGTCAAATGCATTTTGTTAAAATATACTTTTTCACTTTTTTGGTCTTTTGGAAAATGTTGTTTGTGCTGTATTTAGACCCCTCTAACAAGAAATTTGTTTTGCAGGCACACGTATAAAAATTACGGTTTTTATCCAACGCAATCATAGGTCTGAACGTTGTTTTCAATTTAGACGTGTTTATATTTTTCCGTTTGGGCTTGTATTATATTTGCCTTCGGGTTTATATGATCCGTTCATCCTATTCTGACTCCTCAAAATTCAAGAGTGTATCCTAAATTGAGGTAAATTGTATGGCTTTCCAAACACCTGTTTCGATTCCTAACATCACTGAAGAAACATTAATTATCGAAATCCGGATATGGTGTACAAAAATCTTTGCACCTTTTGTTTGCGGTATACCATCTTTTCCGCAAGTTTATTGTTTTCTGTTTAGTATTAAATTTATAATAAAGATCCAGTTATTACATCCGTAATCCGTTTATTTGGCAATCGCCAATGGCAGTCAGCAGGGTTTAAGAACATTTGTTGTTCGACCTGTTAGTCAAATGCGTTATGTTAAAATATACTTTTTCACTTTTTTGGTCTTTTGGAAAATGTTGTTTGTGCTGTATTTAGACCCCTCTACCAATAAATTTGTTTTGCATGCACACGTATAAAAATTGCGGTTTTTATCGAACGCAATCATAGGTTTGAACGTTGTTTTCAATTAAGATGTGTTTATATATATATATATGTGTCTTACGACGCTAGAGAAAAAACTGACGAAGAAAGGTAACACCCGGCCACCGAACGCTTTATTTTTGATAGAGCCTAGGTGGTCGAGTGGTCTAGCGCGTCGGGCATAGTGCAAGGCGATTTGGTGCCACGATATCTCAGTAGCATTTGTTCGAATCCCGGTCAGGGAAGAACAAAAAATATGCTTCCGCAAATTTACAGATCGAACATTGTTGGGCTGTTGTTTTGACGAATTATATATACAGAATGTATTTTCAGCCTTGTATCACCATCACTGCTGGTGATCCGATGGATAAAATCTGTTGTAGAGTCGTCACTGGTTCAGACGTACTTATAATATAATTATTTCTGTGACTGCATCTTACATTAATTTGTGGGATCCTTTACAATAGATAATTCAGCTGATCTGTAACAATTCCATCTTCATGCCTTATATATTATGTACTGTGTTACGATGCTAGAGAAAAACTGACGAGGAAAGGTAACACCCGACCACCGAACGCTTTATTTTTATAGAGCCTAGGTGGTCGAGTGGTCTAGCGCGTCGGGCATAGTGCAAGGCGATTTGGTGCCACGATATCTGAGTAGCATAAGTTCGAATCCCGGCCAGGGAAGAACAAAAAATTTGCTTCCGCAAATTTACAGATCTAACATTGTTGGGCTGTTGTTTATAATTATAATTATAATATTATATATATGTATTTGTGATATTCATACTTTTCCTAACTTGGATAGGGCATTTATCTTAAAACAATATCTGTTTACATGCACTCCAAACAGTTAAGTATATCACGTCAAATGTATAAAGATATGAACAAAATGTTTTACATATGAAAAAGTTGGACAAAGTTTTATCATGCAATAAAAAAAAATTGTAGAAGCAAGTTAGATAAGGATTTGTTCAATCTTATCGTTCTTATATCTCCGTTACACTTTATTATAAACAGTGTACACATAAAAAAAAAACGTAATTTATATTTTGAATTTATAACGTTATAAACATTTCCCAGAGGTTAGAATTTTAGCTGTTATTTTAATATCATATCAGACTCGGATCAAACAAACTATATAGAAATTTAAGTTATGTGTTCTCTGAGAAACGTTTTACATGTTTCAGGCATTTAGATGTAAGTAAAGTAAAGTAAATGAGGACAGATGAAACTATCACTAGCCAAAAAAGTTTACATATTGAGTTAAGTAAAAAACAAAAAGATCTTGACATCATCAGAATGAGACTTTGAAACTTGACACTGATCCTACGTTCCTTAACGACCATATCTGGATTTATTTCTTCAATTTTGTACTTTATTTGGCCTTTTAAACTTTTCCAATTTGCTCGTCACTCATGAGTCTATTGTAGATACAACGCGCGTATGGCGTACACAATTTCAATCCTGGTATTTATGACGAGTTTATTCTTATTTTCGTCGAAGTAACAGAATATTTACCCGGTAAACCTTGACCGAGATAATAATTTTTATTTTTTTTAGTACTAGAGAACTATGAGAAAAAGAATGTATATATTTCACAATCTAACATATTACTTTTCAAACATTCCACAACATTGTGTTTAAAATTCCTTTTAATCAGTATCACGAGCTCAAAGGTTTACATAATTTCAATCCGTGTTTACCTTGGAAGTAAGAAGATTTAGATTTCTATTGTTCTTGAGTGACTGGTTATAACTGCTATTATTTAGGTATAATCTGACAAAAAAAGTAGGAAGCAAATACCTATTTTTTTTTTTTTATCTTCCTCCTCTTCCAAAATTAGGAATTGTTTGGGTCAATTTTTGCATGCACGTTTTTTACTTTAAGAATATATTTATAGCAGTAAAATGAATTCTTTAGATAATGGGTTTAACCTTTTCTCAAAGCCAAGACTCGAATTCTTGTGATACAAATTTTACTGTGTAAAGCCGTTTACAGGGAAGGGTATCAATGTATTTGAACCTCTCTGTATTGTTTTTTTTAATTACGTCAAAATCGAGAAAAATTAGACTGATCCTCTTTCAAAAAAGCCAAAAGTACAAAATTTCACTTCTTCTATTACCTTTACCACTATCCTCTTTCAGCAAGATATGACTAAATTCCTTGTCCTTTAAGAATAAAAGAATAAGAATTTTATTAGGGATGATCGTAATAAATTTGTTCAAAATGGTTTCAGTAGACAATTCATGAATTTATTTACAACTTTGCATATTCAATAGGAAATGTATAATGTGTATCTCGTACTAGTATTAACAAGTGAATTAATTTATGTTTTGTAATGAAGTCTTGTATTCAAATTTGACAATCGAGACTTAAATCTTAACATTCTATGAGGAAGTTTTAATGGGATCGATGCACATAGTTTGATATAATGAACGTTTTTACTTAGCAGTTTATTTCTATGTTAATTTGTTAAAAAGGATTTTGATTTATGAACTCTTGCACAAGGTAAGTACATTTTAGATTTCCAAATTATAATTTTACTATATTGGCAAAACTATAGCGATTCAATTTAAGTTTGAAGCAGGTACCTAGTGAACCTTGTACATAGAATAATTAGACAAAATATCCCAAGCGCTGTCCTGCATCATCTCGGAATATGTATATTAATTTTTTTTTTATTTCTAACGCATTACACAAAAAATTGACAGGTCAGCTTAAAAACCAAAGAACCCATTTGAAAACAGCCACATAGCGAAAATTAAATAACTTGACTTCAATAATGTTAAAGAGTAATTTAAATAATTCTTATATTCTGCGAAAATAATGTTATTTAACATCTATCTGATATATCCTTTTCCAAAACAATTCCTTGTGAAAGTGTTAATTTTATCATGGCTAACTATACATTGTGTCGTCGATTTGGCTCCAAAGCCTCTTTAAGTTTTAAAAAGTATGAATGTAATATATCGAAAGATTAATCACTTTAGTTTTGGTTAAATATTTGGTTTTGATATATTGATACATGTTAATCTGTATTCAATAACCTTTAGTAATTCTCTTATCGAACTAAATTTTTCCTCCATACCTTAAATTCAAAATTCTGCTTAGTAAACATTATGTGCAATCATACCATACACATATGGTCTATGGTCTATGGTCTATGGTCTATCTGCTCTATGATCGGGTTGTTGTCTCTTTGACACATTCCCCATTTCCATTCTCAATTTTACATATAGTCACACTGGTAATGTTATAACAGGAGAGCATGGCAACTTAAGCGTTATTAGCCATAGGCCTGAAATATCGAATTCCTCAGGCTATCAACTGAAAGTGAAGATTCAGTTGACTTATTGAAGCAGCTGAGGGCTATGCTAGAAAATGGGTAACACGCGAGGCAGATAAGATTGAGAGAAAACAAATCCGGGTTACAAACTAAAATTAGGGAAACACATCAACTATAAGAGGAAATCAAAGGAACATCAGGAACAGCTTTTTGTTCGTGTATTCAGAAGCGCATTCTAAATCTACGATGTACAATGAACTAACGGGTTTCTCGTCCTTTCAAAAAGGCAAGAAGTTCCCGATGCGTAATCGACCTTTAACGACAAATCCGCTGTCGTTTAGGCAGAAAAAGTCACTGACGATATTATTTTTAAAAGCAAAAATCATCAATTCGAATATTTAACTGAAGAAATTTACAATTTTGTAGGGGGATCATGGTCGCGTGATAAAGACCAATAGCGATCATGGTCTAGTGGTTAAGACCAATAGCTGCAGTGCTGAAGGTCACGGGATCGATTCTGACTCAGGGCGCTGAAAATTCTAGTACATCAGAAGGGTGATTTTCATCCTCCTACACACATCGACTAGAGCTCCCTTTGTATTGGGTTGGGTTTAGTCTTGTAAATATTGTTGTAAATACGTTTTTGACACATCGCATTTAATCCCGTTAGGGAGTATACAGTGGTTCAACTGAATCCTCGCAGAATAACGGAGGAAACTACAAAAACATAAATAGTAATAGCAAAACCTTTGATTGTTCTACGCATTACACTATCATTCTCCTAAATTTAAATATCAACTACATCGTTTAACTAAACGGTGAATGTTTTTCCCACAAAAATAGAAAATGTTGATACAATAGGTCATTGAAAATCTTATTTTGTGAAGAACCACAGCGATTCCCACAACAAATACACCGAAGATAAAATTAACACAATGCTAGAATTTTGACCATTTTGACAACATATTCGTTGAGTTAAGTAGAATGATATTTCAGGAGACATTCGGTATTCAAATGGGTACTAATGTTCAACTGCTGGCAGACTTGTTTTTGTACTCTTATGGAAAAAAACAATTTAATGATAATGTTTTGTCACTCATTATCCACAAGTGCTTACATCTCATATATCCCAGTGAACGTGGAATTGATTATACTACCCAAAGTAGAAGATTAGTTTCATATCTTGATATTTTCCTCGATATTGACACAGATGGACAATTTCAAACTAGAATCCATGTCGACAATGGTCAGGTTTCCATAACTTAGCAGTAACATGACCTCAGCTCCATCGTATGTCGTTAACATATCTTAGTTATAACGATACTCTCGTACATGTTCACACTATACATACATACATACATACATACTTCATCAACAGGGATATGCTTCTTTCACAAATAATGGCTCCAAAAGAGTCATGAGGAAGGACGACTAAAATCGACTCTACATTAGTTTAACGGTCACCATCACGAATTGAAACGATACGATTTGTCAGTGTTTCAATTCAATAGCGACAAGTTTTCATTGTTTTAGATCTTTTGATACAAGTAAAGTCCTCTGATCTGTGATTTTACCGATTGTGATATTTTTACTAATGTGAACTCGCATGGTGGATGATGCATGCACAACAAGAGACGCTTACAATGCCGACGCAACCGTTCTCGCTCCTTTTGAAGTACATACAATTCCTTCAGTTTCTCTTTGTTGCCTTGATTTGTCTGTTCCTAGTCGTGGATCCTGTCATGACAGCTAGTCACCACCGAGACCGATTGCACTATGTTTTGCAGAGCAAGAACTTATGTTATACATCCGTCCAGACAAATACATATGTAACACAGAAACAAGTCTCCCAAGATCCCGTATCACTCACCTGGTGAAAGTTGACCCCTTCTTACTAACTTTTAATTTTTCTGTGATTTTTTTTTTGTACGAAATTCTTTACTTAAACTTTATGTTAAAGTAATATGATTACTACATATTATTTCAGTTCTCTTAACTTTGTGTATGACTTATGAAGTAACCGAATTTGCACTACTTGTAGTTACAAAACAAGCACGGTGTCATAGATATTTCACTATATTTTATCATTTACATTTGTAGTTTTATATAAATTGCATTTTAGCAGACGGTAAAATGCAGTCTTTTTGTTCATACAAAAACTCCCTTAATATTGTTACAATCAATAAAGAAAACAATGAAAGAGATGTTACTGTAAATATAAGTTATTATCCTAAACACTTTCGAAAGTAGTACTAGTATAAAACATAGATCCTGAAGAAATTGAATAGCTTTTTCTGGAAAGTTCACGTATATCTTTTTATTTGATCAATATGGAAATCACACAGCTGATTTGTTAACTTGTTTGTTTGGAATTATCAAGAAAAGTAAACGGTCATTTGAAACAAAATGTAGCTTTAGCCCTAAAAGTCGATGTAAAACGTCAGGTACAAAATATGGAGCACATGACTTTAGTGTTATCAAGAAAGCTCTCCCAAAAAGGGACGGTCTTTGATAACGTTGATTTATTTATTGATTGGACGCCTATACTTTTCCTCCTTTTCGGTTATATCAGCTAATCATGTTGAATTTGGTTTCGATTGTTTAATATTTAGACTTCAAGCATGAAGGAAGACACGTTGATTGTGCAAATTTCAAAATTTACGGTCTATATATACAAAAGCAAAGTGAAGAATGGGAGTGATATCTCGTTTGTAACAATGATTCTTTAGGCACAACAATCATTCTAAACCAAATCTATGTATGATTGAAATAATTCAAAGAAGAGTGTTAATAGTTTGCGAAAAAAAACCTAATAAAGTAAATATATAAAAGCTACAAGCAAATGAATGTACTAGTCCCTTTGTCTAGTGATAATTTATGCATTTTTTATTTCAGAAATATGGCAAATACGCAACTTACTCTCTTTTTCGCGTTGTTTGTTAAAATGATGGAAATAAGCGGACAGTTGAAAACCACATGTTTCTTTAATCAAAGATGTCGATGTAAAACTTCAAATAAAACATATGTCGAAGTTGATTGTTCACAAGCAAAACTTAAGGATATACCTTACCTTCCAAGAAATGTGAGCAGTGTTGATCTAAGTAACAACTATATACATAAAATACCGGAACATCATTTTAAAGACAACGATATTTTAACTGAAATAAACCTTTCTCATAACAGATTACACTCTCTAAATAAGGAAATGTTTTATGGAATGAAAAGTGTTTTAAAGATTAAGATGAACAATAACATTATTTCAAATACAACGAAAGATGTGTTTCTATATCTTCGATCACTATCATATTTAGATGTTAAGAGGAATAATATTAGCTGGAGCAATCACAACGTTACCTTTCCTCTATCTTTGCTCACATTGAAAATTGATTACAATGCGTCTCATGAAAACCTGCCTGAAATGCCTCATTTAGAGACTCTAGACGTCTCTGGATCATCTGGGCAATGCTACATCCACACTGTAAAACCGGATACGTTGAGATCAGTACCAAAAATACATGAATTAGATATTTCTGGTTGTAAAGTGAATTACGTGTACAATGGTTCATTCAGCTTTATGCGAAATTTATCAATGCTAGACATTTCTTTTAACACATGTCTAAGGTTCGATGGTTTGGAAAATGTGACAATTGATCTTCCATTTACGTCGATAAAAATTCTGAAATTTAATAAAATTCACAAAACATTTCAAACGAATACAAAAATTTTGAGGCAGCATTTGTCGCACTTACGTTATACAAAGGTGGAAGAAATACATGGCGACAGTAATAGAATCCAGCTCATAGAAAGCGGAGCTGTACAACAACTTCCACCTTCCATTCGAAGACTCTTTGTGTCCGACAATGAATTTTCGTATGGACAATATGTTTCCGAATGTATATTTATACGGATTGAATTTATAAATATGTCGTTCTTGTTCAGTTCGCGAAGTAACAATGAACAAGAAGAAAAATGCAAGCGTACTGATAAATCATGTTGCAATCGAGTTTGTGAACAATTTCAGGTACCTGATGAAACAATATACCGATTTAACACAAAATGGAGATTTTTGCCGATTCCTCGAAACCTGAAAACAGCTCTTTACAAAAACTGCTTCCTTCGCTATGAAATACCACAATATACAGTTTCCGAGAATATAGTAAAATATATAGATTTGAGTCATAATATTTTCTATTCGTGGATAGGTCCACTTCTTACATTTAATCATTTGCATTTTTTAGATTTGTCCAATAACATATGCTCGAATGTATCAAAGGTATTTTTTAAAAGTTTTCCAAATTTAACAACATTACTCCTACAAAATAATCTACTTGGATTTGTACTTCCCGATGACAATGAAGGGGAAATAATGCAGCATATGCCAGCCCTTCAAATCGTGAATTTGTCAGAGAATAGGATTCCAAGTTTACCGTATACATTTTTTAAGTCTCAGGCGAATTTGATAGACATAAAATTAGGAAGAAATATGATGGATGATATTACCTTCCAAATTAACCACATGAAAAAGTTGTCACATTTAGACATTTCTAATAACAGAATTTCTAGTTTAGGTGCAAATGCTCGAAGTCATTTAGAAGAAGTGTACAAAGTGAAAAACAACTTTTCCATTGATATAAGTGGAAATCCGTTAAAATGTAGTTGTGATACAATAGAATTTGTAAAGTGGATGTCAATGACAAAGATAAAGATTCTCAATAAACACGAAACCTCCTGTCTAATGTTTAATGTTGACCGAAAATCATTATGGAAATCAAATAGAGTTTATGAAGAGCTTCAGAAAACATGTTCGTCATATTCGTCATTGATTAGTGGCATAGTAGCATCATTAGCCGTTTTTCTGTTTGTTTTAATTTGGGGCATAGCTTTCCGCAACAGGTGGCGCTTGCGATATATGTATTACATGGTCAAAAATAAATATCAAGTGCAAAATAAAGGGGAACCCGACAATGACAGCCAATATGAGTACGATGCTTTTGTATCCTACGACAACAATGATAGATTTTTCGTCCATGACAAACTTTTGCCTTGTCTAGAACGCGAAGCTGGATTGAAGCTGTGTATCCATAAAAGAGATTTTCTACCTGGAAATGACATTGCAGGAAACATAACATCTGCAATTCACAACAGCCGAAAAGTGATTATTGTTATGTCACAGAATTATCTAGATTCATACTGGTGTATGTTTGAATACAACATGGCAAAAGTGGAAAGCATTTATTCCAGAAATAAAGAAAACATATTATTTCTAGTATTTCTAGAACAAATGTCGCCAAATTATTTACCAATGATGGTTTTAGAGTTAGTTCAATCCAGCTCTTACATCGAATATCCAAACGATGAATTTGGTGATACAGTGTTTTGAGATAAATTGAGAGAAGTTTTATCGCAGTAACCATTGTTCCTCTTTCTTCTCATGTTCAGCTGATATCTAAAATAAATAATATACATGTTCTAAGGTATTTGCACATGTATACTTCTTTCATGCTTTATCCATATAAGCTCTGTAGCAATGAACAGTTACATTATAGTTCATTCTATATTTTACAGAACCCTAATGGAAATTAAAACAACAAAATTTACGCACGCACACAAATAGAGGATCATGACATTCTATAGTGCTGGCGTTTTTGTGCGGTGCAGCATAAAAAAAATAGGCTCGATGCAAAAACATGCACCCCAATATAGGGGTCGCATTGTTTACTCTGCAATACAACCTCTTTATTATTAAGACATCTAATTTTTTAAGAATGCATTTTGCTAATTTTTCTATACCTTTCAAAATTCTCGAAAAATTCTTGTGTAATGGTATGATGTTAGGTTGCAGATAGATTACTGATTTCTGGTTTAATATGGTTACATTATTCGCTATAGAATTAAAAAAATTCTAATTTGAAGAATGAATTTTACAGGTAAATGCACAAATGTCAATGTGATGTTTAAAACTTCCTCCTTCCTCATGTACGATTTATTATGCTTCGTTGAAATTGATCTGTATGGTATTCAATAAGACACCTCAAAGTTGAAAGATAAGTTTTATATTATAGATAGAAGTTTGAAGTTTGATATCTCAACTGTTTTTTGTTTTATTGAAAAGGTGATCAAATCTAGACAAACAATGACAAGCATCTAATTGTAATCTATTTAGATTAAAAATAAAAATTAATTGTTCAGAGAACAATAGAAGTTCTTTCAACATCAAATTTTCAAATAATGAATTAGAAGGTACCTTACTCAAATATACTATTGGTGTAATACCACCATGGATTTCCCCTATTAGTCTTTGTTAAATTTGCACTTCTCAAAACATTGTCCAGAATTTATATTTGTTTCAAATAAGGAAATACTTGGCATGAATAAAGTTTATCCTGTCCAGTACTATAAACAAAATTACACATAACATTTCATTGCATATAAGAAAATTACCAATAAAATGTTCACCCCTTTTTTTCCTGTGTACAATTTTTAGTTACCTTGTAACCTCAAGTTTCCAAAATATTCTATAGAAACACCAAATAAACAAAGAATGGTGCTTTGAAACACCCAAGATCTATGTTGATGACTCAGCTATTTTTTACTTCAATGAAATGTAGGATTAATTTCCTACAACTGTCAAATTCAAGGACATATTTTCCCCAACTTTTTTTCGTATGCAAGTGGATGTTACGTACTATGATTTGATGGTATTACACCTATTGGTGTCAAGACATAGGGATTTTCATACTGATTCAAATACTATATTGTTTCTCTGTACTTTTGTCGATTTAAGGGAGAAATTTTCTATTTTCGGTTAACAAAATGCGACTTCCGTTCTCATGTGAAAACTTTGAATACACTGATGCCAAACAAATATGGATTCTGTATATTTCTGCTTGAAATAAGGGAGATAAATTGCAACTTACAGTTTAAAAATTTCCCTTCAGGTTCCATTTGATAGGTCACCTCACACTGATTCCAAAAATATATGGTTCTTGATATTTTTGAATGAAATTACTGCAGGAAATGGATACCTTTGGTTTACTTGCGGCTGACCTATTCAGCATCTCTATATCATATATCTACCAACCTAATGAAAACGTTCCCATAGCTTTACCACGTATAAATATGCATTTATAGCAAAGGTCATGATTTAGAATTTCACTCATTTGAAATAATGGGGAAATAACTCACATATGGAGTCTCCTGAATGCTTCGGTCATAATAAAACGTAACATTCTGAGGATATCACGAGCAATTTGGAAAAATAAGTTTGTTGCTATCTTTTACAGTTGCGAAGGGTTAGTCATAACAAGAAAAACAGTACTTGGGGATATAGCTCATACAAATTCAGTTTAGCGTACATATATTGATATCATACAGTAAATATTCGTGATGTAAATAACATGTATGTAAGCACAGGCACATATGTATAAAAGTGGGAAGATGTGGAATGACGAGACAACTTTCCACAAGAGTTCAAATGACGACGATAAAATTAATAATAATTTAACGTTCGGCCTTCACAAATTGACACATAGCCGATAAAGGAGTAATAGCAGTTACTGAAAGTTAGTTCAAAGCCAATTACAATTAATAGATAAATCATTTTTTCCCAGACTAAAGTATCAAGCAAAACAATGTTGTGTTTTGACGTGGCTGTGTTTAGCGGGTATGTGTTTTTTTAACAGAAAAAGTAAAATAACAGAAATACTGATCTCAAAACGGAAATTCCCTAATGAAATGGCAAAATCAAAAGCTCAAACCCATCAAGCGAATGGATAACGACTGTCATATTCCTGACTTGGTACAGACATTTTTTATGAAGGAAATGGTTGATTAATCCTGGTTTTATCCTTAATGTTTCATGGACTAATTTTATTGATGATAATTTGTTTTATCGTTTTACATGTTATACTTGGTCACACAGCAATAAAGCACAATGACGATAGCTACCTTTACACCAGTTAATAGTGCCTCGGGCCTCTCTTAGTAAAATGTTTATGGAATATTGCATTTTACTGATTTATTTCTTCTGTCCCTTAGTTTTTCTTACCCCTACGTTTAAAACTCCAGCTTTCACCACTGTAATAAAATTGAGAATGGAAATGGGGAACAACCCGACCAAAGAGCAGACAACAACCTTATTTTTGTAGCAGTTCAGTGTTTCTGTTGTTCCGATGTTTTTTCTCTTATGTTTTTCCCTCGTTTTTTTTTACCCGGATTTGTTTCAGTTAAATCGATTGATGACTATTAAACAGCGGTAAACTACTATTGCCATTATTAAATATAAACAAATAATAAAATATAAGTTACGGTAGAAACAACATGTAGCATAACATGATATTGAAGAGAGTCCCCTGTTTTCGGTTCTAAAGACAGTTTACAAAGAATCCAGTAATTTCCGATATAAATTTAGACTGCCAGGTATGGTAAAATGTTTTCAGAACAGAAAATTATCATTAAATTAAAAAGGATTAAATAAAGGCAACTGTTGTATATTGCTGTTCAAAAGTCATAGATCGATTAAGCGAAAACAAATCGGGGTTACAACTTAAAACTGAGGGAATCATAACAACTATCAGAAGAAAAGAACGGAACAACAGAAACACTGAACTGCAACAACAAAAAAAGCCAACATTTATAGAAACGGTCTATTCGATAACAACTGCCATATTCCTAACTTGGTATTGAATTTTATCAACATAGTGATATTGTTGTGACTTATAAGGAATATATTGTATTGTCTTTGGCTAAAATACAATTGGGTCCTCGGAAATACTATGAAACTGTTTACATACGTATTGGTATTAACCATATGTGGATTCTAAAAAACCTTCTGGATAATTTTAAAGCTCGTTTTTTTTCTGAAATTAGTTCTATCAAAACTTTTGATTTTCAACCGTGTATACCACCATTCCCCCATGTGAAATTTAATTTTCAACCGTATATACCACCATTCCCCATGTGAAGTTGAAACATCGTCTAAAAGAAATAATCCACAATGCTCTCCAACATAAAAATGGTAGCATACGCTATAATTTTTTTACTTTGGGATACCATACGGCATATTTTGTTAATAGTGAAGAAAAAGGTAAAACATGCTACGCAGGGGAAACAAATTGTCTGTATTCCTATGGGAACGAACTGTGAATCTCTCCTTGTCGACCTCTTCTTATTTTCATATGAATCGGAGTTCCGTCAGACACTTGTCAAAAACAAGAAGATCAAAGAAGTCAGGTCATTTAATTTCACATTCAGATATATTGATGATGTTCTTTCCTTTAACAATCTACATTTTTCTGATTGGGTTCCATTGATATATCCCCCAGAACTAGAACTTAGGGAAACAACAGACACGGCTTCCTCTGCCTAATTTTTAGACTTATACCTCGGATTTGACATACACGGTCATCTCATTACCAGAATCTATAATAAACGAGACGATTTTAAGTTTGCACTTATCAATATCCCCCATCTTAGTAGCAATATACCAACTTCACCTGCATATGGGACATACATTTCCAAACTTATTCGGATTGCAAGAGCTTGCAGCTCCTACTCTAAATTTGTTAAACGTCAACAGTGTCTCAGCAGACAAGGGGTATGTCAAAGAAAGTCTCATTCTTTTTCTAAAGGTACCAAGATCTTGTTGATAAATATTCCGCATCACAAATAATGCACGATGATCTTGAAGTACAGATTCTGGGTACTGACGTTGTTTACATCTTAATTACGTGTTATAGTATTCTTTTATTTATCTTTATGAATATTACTTTTACTGTTTAGTCTGTTTTGGTGATATCTAGTTTACGTGACTCTGTACTTATACATCCCGTTATTGTGTTATTGTTCTATGATAATTTTTGTATTCTTGTCTTTCATTTTTGCTTATGTGCTTTGTCTATTTACCTTTTGTTGTTTCTTTGATACATACGACTGGGCTCTGTACTAATACATCCCGTCATTGTGTTATTGTGCTATGGTAAATTTTTGTGTTCTTGTTATTCATTTTTGCTAATGTGCTTTGTCTATATGCCTTTTTGTGTTTCTTTGATACATCTGATGTGTCTCTGTACTTGAACATCCATTCATTGTGTTATTGTGCTATGGTTAATTTTTGTATTCTTGTCTTTCATTTTTTGCTAGTGTGCTATGTCTATATGCCTTTTTGTGCTTCTTTGTTACATATTTGTTTGTCTTTATAGTGATTCAGATTATAACACAATGTTGACTGCTGTACCCCTATTTTTGACATTTTTACCTAGTATGTCTGTTTGATTTGTTCACACATTGTTGTCAATATGATGGAATTTTTCGACTGTCATATAAGAGAGAGGTTTAACTAGCAATAAAACCAGGTTCAATCCACCATTATCTACATAAAAAATGCCTGTAACAAGTCAGGAATATGACAGTTGTTATCCATTAGTTTGATATGTTTGACCTTTTGATTTTGCCATTTAATTAGGGACTTTCCGTTTTGAATTTTTCCTCGGAGTTCAGTATTTTTCTGATTTTTCTTTTTTTGCGTTAGTTTTTTTTTTTTTTAATCTATTTTTAAAAAGTTGTTTTTGTTCATATTTTTTATGGTATAACTTTCACCTACAAACCTCATTATAAATTCCATAGAAGATCCAGTTACTATTCTTCAACTTTTGTGAACATCTAATATTCGATATCGGAACCAGTAAGCAGTATTAAATATGGTTATATCATACCTGCTATCTATGCTTACTTATCATACAATTAACATTGATATATATGAGTATTCACATCAATTGTTTATTAAATTACGGAAATCTATTTACGATTCAAAAAAGTAGTTAATGATGTTAAATGAATTGCTATATCATTCGAGTAATTTTACTGAAACAAACACAAAAAGTCCGAGTTCAGAAAAGGAACAAAAAGCTTACTTCATTGGCTATACACTTTTATCATTTATTGTGGATTGGTTATTTTCGTTGGTACCGATTTTCGTGGCGTGAAGAAAATTATATTTTTGTATTTCGTTGTTTTTCCAAACTTCGTTGTACATTAAAATCGTGGTCCTTCTATACCCACAACATTTGATACCCGAAGATAATAATGATTCCACAGAATATCAAATGAAAACTAGATTTGACATCACAAGCAATAGCGGATGTCACCCTTCACCCATTGCCAGTAAGCGGCAGCCATTTCGAAAATTTTAAACAGGGAATGCACATATATGCATGGCTATATATCTTTTTAAAAAATTTCAGAACATTTAGAGCATTTTTTTATCATTTTAAAATTTTTAACATTTTTACAGTTTCCATAGCAACAGTGGCCATTTTGGAAATTCAAAAGTCAGAAGTCTCATCTAGACTTGGCAGTTAACAATCATATTTAGTTTCATCAAGTTTGGAGCATTTTGAAATTTTTAGAATTTTTGACATTTTTGCTGGTTTCCATTGTAACAAAGACCATTTCCAAAATTTAATGACAGATGCCACATTGGTACATGGGAGGGAACATACCATCACAGTTTCAATGGATTTGACCAGCATTCAACGAGAGGAAATGCTACTTTAAGGTTTTTGAAGCATTTTGACCATTTTTGAGACGGTATTTCTCAATTTACCAAATATTGAATAATATTTGTTGAACTATAATAGTTACTAATTGTATGGCAAAATAAGTTACAAAAATATGTTTAATATAAAGGTATCTGTTCACTTAATATCTATAAATCAAATTGTGAAAGGGTTAAAGAAGACATATAATGTCACTGAAGACGGATATTGACTAAATATTCCACAACACAACATCACATCAAAACAAACGAATGTTTAGAAAATTTCAAAGGTAGATGAAATTTTACTAATGCATAGTTTGAGAATTCTACGTCTAGATAATAAAGATGTTCTACAAAATAGGTGATTATCCTTTAATGTAACTATTTTTTTTTATTTCAGTGTTGCTTGTACCAGCATTACTTTACAGACTGATTGCACACATAGTGAAGTTGTGTAGTCTGGAATAGCTTGAGGAATTGATCTCCATTTTTCCTAAATTTGTGAGCTTTTACTGCTACAAAGTTAATATGGATAAGCGTATGAAATATCTATATATGTGGAAATACCTTAAACCATTTATGTATCTCATATTTAAGTGACTAGCTGAACATGAGAAGAGAGAGAAAATAGTTACTGCGACAAAACTTCCCTTAATTTATTCCAAAACACTGTATCCCCAAATTCATCGTTTGGATATTCGATGTAGGAGTGGGATTGAACTAACTCTAAAACCATCATTGGTAAATCTTTTGGCGACATTTGCTCTAGAAATACTAGAAATAATATGTTTTCCTTATTTCTGGAATAAATGGTTTCCACTTTTGCCATGTTGTATTCAAACATACACCAGTAAGAATCCAGATAATTATGTGACATCATAATGACCACTTGTCGGCTGTTGTGAATTGCAGATGTTATGTTTCCAGCAATGTCATTCCCAGGTAGAAAATCTCTTTTATGGATACACAGCTTCAACCCAGCTTTGTGTTCTAGACAAGGCAAAAGTTTGTCATGAACGAAAAATCTATCGTTGTTGTCGTAGGATATAAACGCATCGTACTCATATTGGCTGTCATTGGCGGGGTTTCCCTTATTTTGCACTTGATATTTATTTTTGACCATGTAATACATATATCGCAAGCGCCACCTATTGCGGTAAACTATGCCCCAAATTAAAACAAACAAGAAAACGATCAATGATGCTACTGTGCCAACAATTAATGACGAATACGACGAACATTCCATCTGAAGCTTTTCAAAAACTCTATTCGGTTTCCATAATGATTCTCGATTCCCTTGAGACGTCAGACATGAGGTTTTGTGTTTATTGTGAATCTTGATTTTTGTTGTTGACATCCACTTAATAAATTCTATTGTATCACAACTACATTTTAACGGATTTCCACTTATATCAATGGAAAATTTGTCTTTCATTTTGTACACTTCTTCCAAATGACCACGAGCATTTTTATCTAAACTAGAAATTCTATTGTTAGAAAGGTCTAAATTTGACAACTGTTTCATGTGGTTTATTTGGAAGGTAATATTATCCATCATATTTCCTGCTAATATAATGTCTTTCAAATTCGCCTGAAACTTAAAAAAAATATACGGTAAACTTGGAATCCTATTTTCTGCCAAATTAACGATTTGAAGGGCTGGCATATGCTGCATTATTTCCCCTTCAGTGTCATCGGGAAGTACAAATCCAAGTAGATTATTTTGTATGAGTAATGTTATCACATTCGGAACGCTTTTAAAAAATGCCTTTGAAACATTCGAGCATATATTATTAGACAAATCTAGAAATTGAACATGATCAAATGTAAGAAGTGGGCCTATCCACGAATAGAAAATATTATAACTCAAATCTACATATTCTACTATATTTTCGGAAACTGTATACTGTGGTATTTCATAGCGAAGGAAGCAGTCTTTGTAAAGAACTCTTTTCAGTTTTCGAGGAATTGGCAATACTCTCCAGGCAGCGCTAAATCGGGATATTGTCTCATCGGATGTATGAATTGGCTTACAGAATTTATTACAACATGATTCATCAGGACGCTCGCATTTTTCTTCTCGTTCATTTTCTCTTCGTGAACTAAACAAAAACGACGCATTTACAAATTCAATTTGCATAGTTATAAAATCGAAAACATATTGTCCATACGAAAATTCGTTGTCGGACACAAAAAGTTTTCGAATGGAAGATGGAAGTTGTTGTATAGCTCCGTCTTCTATGAGCTGGATTCTATTGCTATCGCCATGCATTTCTTCTAAGTTTGTATATCTTAAATGCGACAAATGATGTTTCAAAATTTTCGTATTCATTTGAAAAGTTTTGTGAATTTTATTAAATTTCAGAATTTTTATCGAAGTAAATGGAAGGTCAATTGTCACATTTTCTAAACCATCAAACCTTAAACATGTATTAAAAGAAATGTCTAGAGTTGATAAATTTCGCATAAAGCTGAATGAACCATTGTGAACGTAATTCACCTTACAAGCAGAAATATCTAATCCATATATTTTCGGTACAGATCTAAAAGTATCCGGTTTAACGGTGTGGATGTGACAGTGCCCAGATGATCCAGAGACGTCAAGAATTTCTAAATGAGACATTTCAGGGAGGTTTTCTTCAGACGAATTGTAATCAATCTTCAATGTAAGCAAAGATTGGGGAAATATAACGTTGTTATTGCTCCAGCTAATATTGTTTTTCTTAACATCTAGATATGATAGTCTTTGTAAATATGAAAAAGCATCTTTCGTTGTTTTTGTAAGGTTGTTATTGTTCATATCTAGCTTTCTAACTCTTTTCAGCCCATAAAACATTTCTTTCTTGAGAGTGTGTAATTTATTTAGTGAGAGGTTTATTTCAGTTAGAATATCGTTGTCTTTAAAATGATGTTCTGGTATGTTATCTATATCGTTGTTACTTAGATCAACACTGCTAACATTTCTTGGTAGTTTGGGTATATTCTTTAGTTTTGAGTGTGAACAATCAACCTCTACATATTTCGTTCCAGAAGTTTTACATCGACATTTATGGTTAACGCTACATTTGGTTTTCAAATGACCATTAACTCCCATCGTCAAAACAAAACACACAAGGAAACGGAACAGCTGTGTGATTACCATATTCCTGAAATAAAAGTTTATAATGTAAATTTTAAGAAGAGGAAGGAAATTTAGATTTCACGCTAGGGCCACTTTGAAAAGGTCCTTCAATTCTAAATCATATTTACAAATAGTTCTGCTTTAATTGTGTTCTTCTGTGATTGTAACAATGTTAATGGATTTCGGGATATACAAAAAAAAACTGTATTTACTATTTTCCAAATTTCTAAATTTGTTTAAATAAAATTGAGAATGGAAACGGGAATGTATCAAAGAGACAACAACCCGACAAAAGATCAGAAAACAGCCCAAGGCCACCAATGTGTCTTCAATACAGCGAGGAAATCCTGCACACGGAGGTGGGCTTCAGCTGGCCCCTAAACAAAAATGTATACTAGATCAGTGAAAATGGACGTCACACAAAACTCCGATACATATAAATGAACCACGATTAAAACATCATACAAGACTAACAAAGGCCAGAGGTTCCTGACTTGGGACAGGCGCAAAAATGCAGCGCTTAGAATAGGTAACAGAAGAAACTAAGCAAAATTACATTGATTAACATAAATTAACAAAAGACTACTAACAGTTATTGACATGCCAGCTCCAGACCTCAATTAAACTGATTGAAAGATTATGTCTTCATCATTTGAAAATCAAGCACAATCCCTCCCGTTAGGGGTTAAGTATCATACCATCATAAAATATACGAGAAGAACATAACCCGTATTATGCCAATAACTTGTTTTAGAATAAATGTGTTATTTCCGATGCAAAGACCCTATGAGTGAATCAATATTAATTCCAAAAATTGCCATCTTTAATGATCTGACAACAGTATCGGAACTATGACATATGTTCTATTGAAATAATTAAGAACGTCTTCACATAACGAAATCTTTATCTAAACTACATAAGATCACAATATCGTCGCTAAATAGCGACGTCGAATATATTATAAGTTATCTACGTTCATATCCGTAGATATGGATATTTTAACACCCTGAAGTATCCAAGTACACCCTGAGGCGAAGCCGAAGAGTGTACAGGGTACTGAAGGGTGTTAGAATATCCATATCTACGGATATGAACGTAGATAACGAATTTATCCCCGGTCTTAGTCCAAATCTTGCGATTTTTAGAGAAATTTAACCACAAAATGTAACGTGAAAGCAACGTTTTTTTCATTTTTTAAAAATCTTTTATTGAAATTTTGGAATTTGACATATTTTTAACGGGGTGTAGGGTACTACCTTTGGTAGAACCCTACAGGTAGTCAAATATAAGACGTTTTTAATCCAGATACAGAGAAACGGGAATGGGTCGAATTTGGCGCTCAATGTTGTGAGTGTTACATCATAGACGATGTGACGTCATTTGCATAGCTAGGTCAGTAGTCCCATTCATTGATAATGTGGCAGCCAAGTAATGCATTTACTAAAATGAGTACAAATGATCGACATAATAAGATAAAATCGTTAATTCATTAAATATTTAATTACAGACATCATGGGTAATCTACAAAATTCGATATTTCACAAGGAACAACCATGGAAAAAAGGAAAACGCGCGTGATGTTCCCCGTTATAATGGGTAGCAACGTCCGGGTATATGGGTTAGCAACACCCAGGGGCTATGGGTTTTGTAACGACGTGCGTTAACCAATCAAAATCCTAGAAATATACTAAGCCGGGGATAATGTTACGTAATACCCGCGCTAAACGACGTTAAGACGTTTACCAATTATAAGAAAATGTCTATAATAAAGGAAAGTAATTTACATTATTCTGCGGCCCTCAAAATGAGTTTACTGTTCATATTTATATTTCAAGTTCCACATTGTTCTCTGCGAACTGTCCATGATAAAAACTAAAGAACCGATGTTCACATGTGTATTGATTTTTCCTGTTACACGGTGATTCTCTTTCAGTGTGGTAAGGTATTCAGTTCTCAACAGTTTACAAAAAATGTTCAATTAAAGTAAGTTTCCGTTATAATAATTAATTTGCTTCTGATGATGCTATCATATTATCCTACGTGTTTATAAGGTTCTCCGGCGACATTCTCCTCTTTGATAATTTCTCCATACAGTTTCAACAATTCGGGTTCTTTAGCGAGACGATTAATAACACTAGAAGTTCTTTTCCGTGCTATCATTTCGTTGCTAGGCAACTCCTGGTGGTCAGTTTTCCATGGAAATTTACAATGTATTTGTTCCTTTCGAGATGAATACTGGATTCTTGATATTTGATCAGTTCGTCTTGTGCAGATTTCCTGGTAATACCACATGTACAGTTCTCTTCCGTTCCACTGGACTCAATTTCCCAAAACTTGTGTATTTCACATTCTTCATTTCTGTGTGGGGTTAAAATGTTCATCATTGATGAAGATGACGGAGTGTAAGTTTCTGATGGATTTCGATGTATATGCCCAGATAACAGGTACCCGACTTTTGATTTTACTGCTGTCGGTCGCGGTCTTCGAATAACATTGTCCCAAAAATAATCAGTGCCGATTAAGATTGAAACTTCAAAATCCTCGTCGAGTAAGATATTTGCTTGACTAAAATGGTTTTCGTCGGACGAGACTGTAACTATTGCTGTTTTCAAAAGTACCAGAGCTCTTACTGGTGTCGCTAATGAGTGCATGTTCGCTACCGTTAGATTGCTGTGTGACGTCGTTTACCGCAATTTTTACGTGTTTTCATAGAGTTGCAGTTTGCAACTCTATTACTTCCTAAACAATTAAAACACAGCTGTTTCTCCGTAATTGTGCGCTTTCTGTCATCGATTCTTTTTCCTTTCATACATACAGATGGGTCGTGAATGTCGTAACAATATATACAGGGTTTGTTATTAAAATTTCTGTAACATAAATCGTAGTTTCGTTTTGTACTTACTGTAAATTCCGACGTAGGTGTTAATTCTGACTCTTATTCGTAACAATTGACTGACTGGCTTCTTGGATTGTAATCTCATGTTGAATTGCGTTTCGTGGCAACCGTAAATTCCATCTGTCATTCTCATTAAAGCGTACCACATTTTGTTGGATGTTTCCGGGAATTTTTATTTAAGATTATTGGTACTAGAAGGCTCCCGTACGATTCATGCGTTTGTCCCATTCCCTCAAGACCTCGAATATAATTCTCCATGCTGTCGTATAAGTTCTTTAGCTCTCTAATATTTGCGGATGGACTGAGTAGACTTATAAGTCTTTGCATATAGGCATTCACAATTTTGTAGGGTTGACCAAATATCTGTTTCAATACATGTAGGGCTTGCGCGTAATTTGTGTTTGTAGTTTGTAGTCCTGAGATGCACTGGCTTGCTTCTCCATACAATTGAGACTTTAAATAGTTAAACTTCTGGACATCATTTAAGGACAAATTTTCATGAACTGCTGCACAAAAGGAATCCCAAAATGGTACATACTGGAGTTTGAAAATGTAGATGCTGAATGATTCGCTCACGTGAAACTTAATCGAGTCGGGTTTGTTTGGTTGTTTGAAAGTGTGAATTCTGTGGGATGTAGGTTTAATTGGGGTTCACACGTACATGTTGTGTTATTTTCTTCCCGGATAATTCTTGCTAATTTTGTTAAGGTAATTTGAATGACAAATCCATACCTGTCGGCTTTTTCTATCTCTTCTTGTATATCTTCTTATAAAATCTCCTCCACAATTTTATCGTTGAGTTCCGAGATAATTGTTCCCTTCTGTATCATTTATCTGATTGTCATAAGTTATTCAGAGAGTATTCCTGTAATAACTCCTCGAAATTTGCGCTCACTCGCTTTAGTAATTTTGTTACTGCCCGCGATGTCCAGCTCGAATAGCTTTGAGTTTTGAACTCATTGTTCTTTTTGTCACGGCACCAATATGACATATATTCTATTGAAATAATGAAAAACGTCTTCAGATAACGAAATCTTTATCTAAACTACATAAATCACAATATCGTCGCTAAGTAGCGACGTCGAATATACTGTTACGTAATAACCGCGCTAAACGACGTTAAGACGTGTACCAATTATAAGAAAATGTCTTTAATAAAAGAAAATAATTTACAACAGTAACTATATCCCTTCTGAATAAGTCTGTTTAAAGGTTTGACTAGCTTTTGAAGGTGAATGACGACATTTTTGTGATTTGTATAGAATATTACCATTAAATATGGGATGTGAAATACCTGAACGTATAAGATGTATGCACGTTAATTTATATTTACGAATTATGTCCGTGCACCGATGATAAAATTTATTAAATGTTTTGACAAGTTTGTGATATCGAAAACCTTGGTGTAATAATTTTTCAGTAATACAAAGATTTCTTTCGTTAAAATCAAATACGTTTACCGTAAGATATGTTTTCTTGTGAAAAACTGCTTTTCTATATGAAAGTGTGTTAATCTTAATAATAAATATGTGAGACTAAAATCGACGTCCGCCTCTAATCGACGTCTGTTCCTCAAATCGACGTCCAAATCTGACGTCACGATAATAGTCTATACAATAGCATCAAAATCGACGGCCAATTTTATATCTAATAGACGTCTTTTTTGTTGTTCTCGAATCGACGTCCAATTTTTGGCTTCTTTAATCGACGTCCGTTTTGTGGACTTATCGCAGTGAAATCACAATTTTATTAAAGGGTGGGTTGAACCTTAAACTTAAAAAGTTGTTAAAAAATATGAGTCCAAATCATAATACTTTTCAAAAATTGGCTGTACGTTATTGTTCTTTCTATTGTTTGAGTCTGTATACTGCCCTCTAGATGTCTTTTGATTATCTTAGTTTTTGGGTTGTTGTCTCATTGTCGTACAATGTATACCCATATGTCAATTTATTTATATGAATAAGAAAGGAAAGCGACAACGTAGGTCGAGAATATGAACGTCTTTCACCAAAAAATTAATATGCATGTACATGTAATAGTAATAGGATTTTGGTGATTGCCTTATTGTCATTTTCTAATGTTTGTCCTTTTATTTTGATAACAATATAAGAAAAACAGTTATAGTTTCT